TTTTTTTTTTTTTTTTTTTTCGTTTTCTTCGGTTTTTTCTTGTGCTTATTTTGTTTGATTGATGGATTTTTATGAATTACTTGATCTGTGATATATGTAAATTGTGCTATTTTTTGCTTAATTACTTCTTGATTGTTATAACATATCAGATTCTCTTACATAAATATTTTGCGTTTTTTGCTAGATCTCTGTAGAAGAAGTCGGAATAGGAAAGGATAAAGTAGATATAGTTGAGTTAAATCTTTCGGTAAATCTAGGAATGAACTGAGGAGTAGAGTTTTTGAAGTGATGGCAACATGTTTTAGTCCAGATTTAGTTTCATTTGTTTGAGCGTCATTTTTTGCGTAGAATGCATTTTGTAACAGTAGATTGATGGAGAATGCGTGGTTAAAAATGAAAAAAAAAAAAAAAAACTTTTGGGTCGTGTGTAATATTATTTTATTGAAGAATGCGTGGTTAAAAGAAGAGATACAAAAATGTATTTTGAAAAAAATGGGAACTATTCTGTTTTGATTTAAGCTTCTCTCCATTATTTTTCCGCTTGAGAATCAGTAGAAGATGTTAACATTTACAGATAATAGAACTGTTATTATCTTTTGTCTCGTCCGGTTAAAGCATTAATGAAGTGCTAAAGGATTCTCTGAGGTTTTCTGCTTTGTGGTTTATTTGTGAAATAGAGCTGTCAACTATGTGCAGCTCAGAAAGACGGTATAGGTTATAGTAGAGGGTAAAACCTTACATTAAGCTAAAATAAAGTCAGATGCGCCAAGGAAAATCGTTAACAGTTAATCGGATGGGTACCTTCTACCAATCTCGTTCCATCTGGAAGCTAACTTTGGTGTTCGTGTTCAATAATACGTAGACATTTTGGTTTAGATTATATTATCACTCTGTCGAATCATGTCCTCGGCCACTCGCCCCTCAAAATTGCACTCTCCAAGCGCAAGCCAGTTGTTGCTTGCACTCTAGGGAACAAATACGCGATAATTTTATTTTATTTTTCATTATGTCATACTGGTTCTGAACGCTACATATCATGTTTTTTTGCAGGTGTAAAACAAAGCATTAAGGCGAAGAGCCCTCCCAGCGTCCAATCTTTGCCAGCGCAGATTGAGCACAAACCCGTCCAAGCTGCTGAGAAGGAAGCTAATGAAATACTTAAGAATGTCATGCTCGATATGCCGCGTGTATCCACAAAGGGTGACGGCCCAAATGGTAAAAAGATCGAAGGATTCTTATACCAATACAAGAAGGGAGAGGAGGTGAAGATAGTATGTGTTTGTCATGGCAGGTTTCTCTCGCCGGCGGAATTTGTAAAGCATGCCGGAGGTGCTGACGTGCCACATCCGTTGAAACACATAGTTGTTAACCATGTCTAGTAGTACCTTCTCTGCCAATCCTTGATGGAAGGGTTAGTTTCTTGTGTCTTGTGGACTTGAGAGACGAGAAGCTTTTCAGGGTGAATGTTGTTCTGTTGATTTTTCTATTTGGGCTAAAGTGTCTGAAACAAAAAATGAAGAAATTGATAAACATCTAAAATAGTAGTGCTTTGTTGAGAGGCGAACTCAAGGCAGGCTTCATGAATGGGTACTCTATCCAACTGAGCTATGAGAGCATGTGACAAACAACACTTCTAAATAATATTGAATTTTTCATGCCATTTTCTCCATATATTATGGTTTTTATAGGTTAAATTTTTTACATTAGTGAAGTCAAAATTATTTTTATTTTTGGTTCTGAATCCAAACCCATAGCCAATGTTTAATGTACATTAGATCTCCCCAATATTATTGTCATTTCTTGTTTTTAATACTGAATACAGCTTCATCTCCGGAATTCTTCTCCTGTAAGGCTCGTGGTCTAACCTCCGTGACCTAGGATGGTGTGACCATGTTCTGCGTTCAACTACTGTTAACTTTGTGGCCTTAGACGGTGCGACAATTTTCTGCGTTTGATAATTGTTGCCACCGAGTCCATGTCAGATTAATCAGATTCTGAACCGGAGCAATGAACCTATTTGCAGTGGCTCATTTCGTACCAGAGAAGCCTATGCATGAATAAGGCTCAATTTTACTTCCCTATCTAGCTACTCTAGGTTGGGGGTAGGTCCGGGGGGAAGTTATAGACACATTTCCATACTTTGTAGATGGAATACTTCATTTAATTTTTTATGCAGTATATATCTCTCGGTAGCCCCATGTCTTAGATATCTCACCCAATTAAATAAAGAACATCGTATAAGATAGAGGATCGGGCAATGCGTGGCACACACTGATCGTGTAAGTAGGCAAGTGCACGGGCTATGTCCAATGAAATCTTGTGAAGTACCCTCCAATCGACAGCTCTTATGGACCTCTCCTGTATAAATTTTTCCAGATTACCACCTGGCAAATAATTATATATAAGAAACATCTCAGATTCACTAGTATGATATCCTATCAAAGTCACCAGATTCGGATGGTGAAGCCTTCCAAGAGTTCTGATTTCTAAATCAAACTGTTGAACACCTTGGAATCTTCCTATTGAAAGCCGTTTTATTGCCACGAGGACTCCTGGAGCAATCTCGGCTTTGTATGTTGCTCCAAAACCTCCATTTCCAATGCAGTTGTTTGCATTAAAACTCCCTGTAGCATTCACCACATTTTCGTAAGTCAATGGGATCCCAATGTCAGTAAATACTGTTCTTTCTTAGCAGTTCCACTAGCTCTGGGCCTCGGCTTCCACTTTCTTGTGTAAAAGAAGAGGATAATACGAGCTAGAAGAACTGATAAAATGGCAGCTGCAGATGTGATGGATGCAATCTCAATTGAGTTGAAACTTCCATTCGTGCTTGTTCGAGTTATTGTTGATGGTGAAGAAGCATAAGTTTGCGAATCCCCAATTCTTGCCTGTTGTTGATCGGCAGATGATGACAAAGAGGATGCGTAACAGGAGAGCAGAAAAGGGTTCCCGAGAAGACTACTGCATTTCATCAAATTATCATTCAAAGGCAGTTGCCCAGACAGATTATTGAAGGACACATTAATCGTTGAGAACATGGTCACATTTGCTAAGCCGGATGGAATCTGCCCGTGTAGTTTATTATCGTTGAGGAGGAGGACAGACAAGTTCTTTAAGTTTACAAGATCTCCAGGAATTTCACCAGAGAGGGAATTTGAAGACAGATCAAGCAGTTTTAAAGAGTATAGTTGCCCCAAGCTTGTGGGAATGGATCCAGTCAAGTTATTTCCAGCGAAAGAAAGGCATTCAAGATCCTTTATCTGGCCAATACTGCTCGGGATCGGACCCTTCAATGGGTTCCAGCTCAAATTAAGCCCAACAAGTGAAACCAAATTTCCAATACTAGGAGGAAGAGTCCCAGTAATTTGATTACTGGAGGCATCTAAGAGCTTCAAAGATTGGCACCTCGTGCCAATATCAGCAGGAACTTGACCGGATAATAGATTGTTGCTGACATTAACCATCATACCCCTCATCTGATCACACATCCCGAAAAATATTCCAGGGAATAATCCACCGAGCTTGTTTCCACCAGCAAGAAATGCATAAACAGTCTGCTTCCCTAATCTTTCAGGTGCAATTGGCATCCAATTAACTGTGCCTGTAAGGTTGTTAGAGCCAAAATTATGCAACACAGCAAAACTAGCATCATCCCCGAAAAATGGCAAAGGGGCATCAACTTGAGTTCTGTATGCAAAATATGAGATGTATTCAGATGATGGATCATGTGGCTCCAAGAAATCCCCATTCATGGATGGGATATTAGTACAAGCATTGTAGCTAAATTTGGGGATTGAACCTGATAGAAAATTTCCACCAACATCAAACATAGTCATACAAGGAACAGGAATTTTGTCAACAATCTCCCCACTCAGTCTGTTTGAGCTCAAGTTAAGAAAATGCAGTTTCTTGCAGTTGCTAACCCCTCAGAGACTTTCCCTGAGTAATAGTTTTGAGCCAAATTCAACATCTCCAAGTTGGCACAAAAACCCCAACTATCAGGCAACTTTCCATCAAGAGTTGCTCGAGGGGCCCATACCATCCTCAAGCTTGAAAGACTAGTAATTTCAGCTGGAATTGTGCCTTCGTATAAATTATACTCATCAGCAATAAGTGCCAACTTTTCAGTTGAGATATCACTTCTAAAACTAGAGATGTTGGGAAGAGGATCCCACAAGTTTGACAACACAAGGACAGATAACATCGTACAATTGCCAAGATCAGATGGTATAGCACCACCGAAATTGTTCCTAGACACATCTAACACTTCAAGATGATTCAGCTGACCAAGTTCAACTGGAATCCCCCCTCCTCTAATACATTCGAGTACAGCAGAAGTGTCTTCAGCCCTCTACATTTTCCAAGACTTTTTGGAATGCTTCCAGTGAAGAAATTCCCTGCCAGCTCCAGATGTTCAAGCTTTCCACAATTATCCCAAACATCACCAGGTATCGAACCACCAAGCAGATTAAATGACAAGTAAAGCCCCCTCAAATTTCTAAACTCACCAATAAACCTTGGAATAGATCCATTCACTTGATTTCCAGCTAAATTCAAGATCTGTAGACCCATACAATTCAAGAGTGAACTTGGCATTCCCCCAAAAATCTCATTGAATCCCAAGTTAAGAACTTTTAAAATTTTCAAGCCTTTAAACTGGGATGGCAACGACCCAGAAATTAAATTTCCTTCAAGATCAAGAACTTCAAGCTTTTCCATACCCCAAATCTCCACAGGAATGTAACCACTCAATTCATTGAAGGGCATCGATAAGACCTTAAGTTCAGTAAGTTTCACAATAGCAGGAGATAATTTACCCAAGATTTTAATTTTATTATTGCTTACCAAACAAGGCCTTCTAATTCCAAACCCATGGAGTGGAAATTGAGCAATTCTAGTACATGATAAAGAATTACCCGCACCTGTAATATTCAATGCCACCACCCGATAGCCCGAATCGACAATACCCCGGCCCACAAGCAGTGATCCCGGTTATTCAAATTCCAGCTGGTCAGCACACCATAAGGATCCGAAATTGAATCCTTCAGCTCCAAGAGAGCAGATCTATCCGAACCAGAACCCAAAACGACATCTCTTTCAGATGAAAACAAGACCAAGAGCAAAATCAAGAACTTCAACGGCTTGTGAAGTTGATGCCATTTTATCAGAAAAGAAAGACGACCCATTACTCAAAAACCCCAGAAGAATCCTCAAAAATCCAAGAAAAAATTACGGGCCCTCATTGTCACACACACAATCACACTCTCTTAAGTTTAAAAACAAATCGTGCGAAAACCCTAACCCTAATCCTAATTTTGGGGGTTTTCTTTGCCTTTTTACTCGTGAACAGAGTCTAGTCACAGATAGTAAACATGTGTTCGCGTGTGTAAGGGAGAGGAACAGTGGGTGGATTGTTCTTTGAGAAACACGTTGTTGTCCTAATGTCATTTTTCCGTCTTTTTCTCTTTTTTTTTTAATTGATTTTTCTTGACCCTTTCTGTCTCAATATTTTCTTCCCTAATAAAATGGGGGTCTGTGTTAAAAAATCTAGTCAAACAATGATTTTGATTAAAAAACATTATCTCAATGTTTCTTGATCAAATGGTTTTCAATTATAAAAAACAATAAAAAACAATATCAAATGTCATAAATACCCTCACCATTGGAAAAGACCCTAACACCCTTATCAATCCAATTAAATCCCCCCATTCACTTTTTGATCCCCAAAATCACAATAACTCGTTTTCTTCTCTTCAATTATTCTTGCTGCTCTAAAATCCTATTCTTCATTGTATTCTTCACATATTTGGGTATCTTATGAATATTTATCAACTATATTAAAATCCTATTCTTCATCGTACTCGTGTTTATTGACAAAACGCCACGAATGTCGTGTACCGGCACATGTGACTTTCTGATGATTTCTCTAATATTTTCCTTCATTTCCACCTCAATGACTTTAAGCATTATACCCCATGACTTAAGGAAGTCAGAAATGTCGATAAGCTGTTTTAGATATTTGTTTATTGACAGAACGACACAAGTGTCGTTTAACGGCACATGTGTCGTTATGATAATTTTTGTAATATTTTGATTTATTTCGGCCGCTACGACCTCAAGCATTGTACCCCATGAATTAAAGAAGTTGGAAATGTCGATCATGTGAAAAATAACGATAGAATTGACATAGATTATATGATATCTTGTTGGTGAACTTACAAGTCATTGTATTGTTTCGTTAGAAAAATATAATTAATGAGTGTAACTCTCAAACTTTCTGCACAACATGTCTATCTTGTAACGTAAATAAGTTTGAATTATCTTTTATCGAGATTCGGAGGGGTCGTGGCCGCTCGTACTCGTGTTTATTGACAGAACGACACAAGTGTCGTGTGCCGACACATGTGCCGTTCTGATGATTTCTCCAATATTTTCCTTCATTTCCACCTTAACGACCTTAAGCATCGTACCCAATGACTTGAGAAAGTCAGAAATGTCGATTAGCTATTTTAGATACTTGTTTATTGATAGAACGACACAAGTGTCGTTTAACGGCACATGTATCGTTCTAATGATTTCTGCAATATTTTGATTTATTTTGACCGCTACAACCTCAGGCATTGTACCCCATGAATTAAGGAAGTCGGAAATGTCGATCATGTGAAAAATAAGGATAGAATTGACGTAGATTATATGATATCTTGTTGGTGAAATCACAAGTCATTGTATTGATTCGTTAGAAAATATAGTTGATGAGTGTAACTCACAAATTTTCTGCACGGCATGTCTATCTTGCAACGTAAATAAGTTGGAATTATCTTTTATCGAGATTCAGATGCATTGTGGCCGCTCGTACTCGTGTTTATTGACAGAACGACACAAGTGTCGTGTACTGGCACATGTGCCGTTCTGATGATTTCTCCAATATTTTCCTTCATTTTCGCCTCAACGACCTTAAGCATTGTACCACATGACTTGAGGAAGTCAGAAATGTCGATAAGCTATTTTAGATACTTGTTTATTAACAGAACGACACAAGTGTCGTTTAACGGCACATGTGTCGTTCTGATAAGTTTTGTAATATTTTGATTTATTTCGCCGCTACGACCTCAAGCATTGTACCCCATGAATTAAGGAAGTCGAAAATATCGATCATGTGAAAAATAACGATAGAATTAATATAGATTATATGATATCTTGTTGGTGAAATCTCAAGTCATTGTATTTATTCGTTAGAAAATATAATTGATGAGTGTAATTCACAAATTTTCTGTATGGCATGTCCATCTTGCAACGTAAATAAGTTTGAATTATCTTTTATCGAGATTTGGAGGGGTCGTGGTCGCTCGTACTCGTGTTTATTGACAGAACATTATTTTTCTTTTCATAACAATACTCATACCATTCTACAAAATGTTATCTTCCGAGGCAGAACAACACAAGTATCATTTTCTTGATAGTAACGGCACGTGTGCCGTTCTCATGGACTTATTTGCACAACATAACGACACTTGTGCCATTCTGATAGACGTTCAACCTGGGAGTGACAGCATAAGAATATTTAAATTAAACGCATCAAAACTGTAGGACACTTGTATCGTTTTAATCTTTCTTTTTGATCATGTAATGACCATATCTATTGAATATTGTGAGCGGCATGTCCATCCTACAACTTAATGAGTTCATATTATCGATTATCGTGGTTCGGGAGGATCGGGCGCTTAATACACGTGTTCACAGGCAGAACGACATTTGTGCCATTTTTTAAACAGTAACGACACTTGTGTCGTTCTTGCAGATCTTTAAATTATTGTGGTATAGACAGGTCGCGACTCTTCAAAATCGATTTTAGAGCCAGAACGACACTTTTGTCGTTTTCAAAACAGTAACGACAGTCGTGTCGTTTTCTTTTTTCCTCTTGATTAAGTAATGAGTATAAATTTTGAATGTTGTAAGTGGTGTGTGTTCAGTCGGCAACATAAATGAGTTCAACTCATCATTATCGTGGTTTGGATGGGTCGCGGCTCTTCAAAATCGATTTTAGAGACAGAACGACACTTGTGTCGTTTTCAAAACAGTAACGGCAGTTGTGTCGTTTTCTTTTTTCCTCTTGATTAAGTAATTATCATAAATTTCGAATGTTGTAAGCGGCGTGTTGAGCCTGCAATTTAAATGAGTTCTACTCATCATTATCGTGGCTCGGACGAGTCGCGACTCTTCAAAATCAATTTTAAATGCAGAACGACAGTTCTGTCGTTCTGTAGACGTTCTCAAAGCAGTAACGACACTTTTGTTGTTCTGTTGATTTCTCCAATATTTTGCTATTTTTCCAGCGGAGCGACGTCAAGCATTGGACCCCCTAACTTAAAAAGGTCGACAAACTGATTGTCTTTTTGGATAGTCAATCTAGCTTGCCTATTTTGGTACTCAAAATCGTTATTTTCAATCTTCTTTGTTAAAAAAAATTCGGGGGCTCCACCCCCAAACCCACGGGAGGGGGGCCCACCCCCCGTATTTTTGCCAATACCTTTTGTTGATTTCTCCAGTATTTCTTGCTTCTTTTCCACCACAGCGACACTTGTGTATCGTTGTAATGTTATTTGTACAGTCATCTTAGATATTTTCATAACTTTCTATGTTATATACTTTATGGAGTCCATTAAAATATTGTTTGTTGAAAATTTCGGAACGACACCGTGTCGTTACTGGATATGAAAACGACACTTGTCATGTTACATATCTAAATACAAGTATAAGTAATCACGGCCCATTCGTCCCATGCAAATAATAAGTGAAACTTATTTATATTGTAATATGCACATGACACGTATAATGTTGAAATATATGTTCATTAACTTAATCGACACATACGAATAAAACGACTCGTTCTTTCATTATCTCAATAAATATAAAAGTTATGTCATTTCAATCGTTCTTTGTAGTTTGTCAATCTTTTTGTGTTATACATGTTTGTAAGTCCATTATTAGAGGTCATTTCGTTGAAAAAATCAAATTACAACAGATAACGACTGTAGCGTCGTTTCACATCGCGATTGCGGATCTTTTTCAGCAACAGCAGATCAAATTGGTGCATTATTGGTCGATGTTAAGTCATGGTGTTCGTCGTCTAGGTGAGTGCTATCTACTGGTGGTGGTGCGCTACCATGGGTGTCGTCGAATGTAGGTTTTCCGACAGAAGAAGGGTGCGCGAGGACTTGTTTTTTGGGCTGATATTTGTTGATTGGAGGTTGTAGATGGGAGGGAGACGAGGCTGGGGGTGGTGGAGTCCGATGGTTTGGGTGGCCGAAAAGTGGTGGAATTGGGCTCCATATGTGGCTGCTGAAAATGGGCAAAAATCATCCAAAATGAAGAAGAAGGAAGGTGGTGAAATGAAAGAAGTTTGGTGAATAATTTGATATAAATTGAAGGACAACTTTGTCATTTTACCATTAAAATATTTTAAATTTTTTTAATTCTATTTCAATGTTGGTCAAAAGCCATTTCTCCAAAATCATTGTTGAGGTGGGTTATTTGGCCAAATTTCCCTAATAAAATTAGTTTTTAAGTTATTTATCATTCACATTATAAAATATTTTGTACGTAAATTTAAAAATTTTTCTTACTTTTTTACCGCACATTCTTTTAAAAATCGTTATTGAAAATATTATTTTAGCCAAATAATGCCAATCAAATTTAGACTTAACTTCTAAACATTTTCAGAAACTTGCTGAATATGAATTCAAACATATTGCTACATATCAATTTCACACCATGTTACAGTTAACAATTTATTGCTACATATCAATTTATTTCATTTTGATATTACAGTTAACAAATATAATGAAACTTTTAAAAAATAATAATAAATAAATTTTGTATTAGTAATTTTTTTAAGAACGTGTGATTAAATATAGAATTTTTTTTGAATTTACGTGTAAAATTATTAACTTGGAGAATGTGTATTTTTGAATATATATTTTTTTTAAATGAGGTTCAAACAAGGATTATGTATAATTAACTATTTGTGATCAGATTATTTCTTGCTCTACTATTTACTTTTCTGAGGATGTCCTTAATATTAAAAATTGTGGCGTAGACCATGACAATACCTTATTATTATGAAAAATTTACAATCCCAACCCTCAGATTAAATAAGGTATTTAAGTCTCTGATTTGTATTTTATGG